GGGCAGCACTTCTTGGGATTGATCTGCAAATGAGCATTCTGCAGCCTTGTGGAAACAAGAATAGAATACACTCCTCAAGTTTGATAGATGTTTGTCAAAACTTTTTCCGGTAACTATAATGTCATCAAGATACACCAAGCATGTTTTCCAGGTAAGTCCTCTCAACACCAACTCCATCAAGCGTTCAAATGTTGCGGGTGCATTGCATAATCCGAACGGCATAAACTTGAACTGATATAATCCATCGCTGGTGGAAAAGGCGGTCTTCTCTTTATCTTCGGGGCGAACGGCCACCTGCCAATATCCGCTTTTCAGATTTAGTGTTGAGAACCATCTGTCTTCAGCCAAGACGTTCAGGGTGTCATCTATTCTGGGAAAAGGGTAACTGTCCTTTCTGGTGACATCATTAAGCCCCCTGGAGTCTACGCAGATTCTGGTCGATCCATCTTTCTTAGTCACCAACACAACAGGTGACAACCAGGGGCTGTTTGATTCCTCGATTACCCCTTCCTCCAACGTGTCCTTAACGATGGATAAAGCTTTGTTTTGCTTTGCAAAGGGAAGTTGTCTCGGTGGTTGGCGTGTGAACTTGGCATTGCCAGTATCGATCAGATATTGAACCAAATCCGTTCTACCAATGATTATGCCCTTCACAAACGTATCGTTCTCTTCCTATACGAATCGGGTGGCCTTGCATAGTTCTTCTTCAGACAGATGGCTGCACGTCTTTTTGAAAGAGTCGATGAGTCCCATTGCGGGTTGTTGAGCACACAGTAGAGGGACTTCTTCCTCGATTCTGGCAATTCTCACAATCGGCTCGTATGTGTCTATCACTTTCCTTTTCTTGAGGGTCAGCCTGTTATTATTAGGATTGATTATTCTTACTGGAATGTTCTGATTGTTACCATCCATGAGAGATCTGGCTCGGAAAATTCCTGGTTCAGAGCCGTTGGATGGCTCTATCAATGCTGCGCCCAAGCCGCCAGGTCAATAAATTTCCACTTGAATGATATTCTCGGTTTTGGGAGAGATTCTGGAATCTTCCAGTATAACCAACTTGGCGCTGTCATAAGGCTGAGAGGCACGTCGAGCAGAATTTCCTGATTTCCGACTTTAAACAGTTTGTCCCTTATGTCCACCACGAATTCGTAGGGCTGCGATGTCTAGCCTCAAAATGAATTCGTCGACACAATATATTAATATTAACATAAGTTTACAAAAATGATTTGAAGGTTTAATAACTTCTACTTATTACATGCGAACGCTTTCGATAGCAGGCACCTGTGCAGCGTCTTTCATTTGGAAGATATATGAAAAGCTGTAATGGATTTTATTTGGTCAGGATGACCACCGACAGACCGGGTTCATTAGGACTGGGAGGGTCACTTCAGATGGAGTGAACAATTTGAATATCCCGAAGAAACAACGAGTCATAAACTCATAAACAAAATTTTAATCTGAATCATCATCTCGTATTATGACAATAACTTTTGTCGAAATATTGGAAACATAATGTTATTAGAGTACACTTGGGCTTTGGCAGCTATCCCAAATAATGTCAAGGCTTTGTTCTTAACTAGCCAGCAAAGATTATCCTCCTCTCTCATTCTTTTTTGCTTTTACGGCTGTTCATCCGTTGTGTAACTCAATTACACTCACGAAGAACGATTGACAACAAGTCTTGGTTGCCATCTGAGATGATGGCGAAACGTCGATCTTTGAAAAATACACAACGTATGAATACCTGGAATAGCAACTTCAAATTTATACAGATGTGGAAAATAAATATCGGAACATACAAATGCCAATGCATTCTGGACGGGGTCCGTGATAGCAGTTGGCCAGTTTGAAATTAGAGATTTATTCGGGACGGACTAACCATTATTCGATTGAACCTCTCTACGTTCTTATATCTCCATTCATAATATGCGTGTGTCTGTTAGACCGCACTAGCACGGCAAGCAATTCGTCAGTATGAAAATGTTAGAGAGAGAGAATGTGGGTATGTCTGATTTTAAGGATGAGACTTTGCTATACCGAAGCTGTAAGAAATTATTTGCGGAGATAACTGTAAAAAATAATTTCTTTTGTGAAAATTAGTTGCTTGTTCTTTTTGCCATAATAGCTTTGATAATAAAATACATGCTTCGAATTGAAAGAAAAATAAACTGAAAATGTTCTTAAAAACCAAAGAAACGTAATGTCTACTTCTGAAAAGTAAAGTAAAATGTAGTTCGATAAAACTACAGTCCTTATGTAATGAAGGTTCAAATAAACCACCTTATTATGTCAAACAATAGCCAAATCTGTGATACAGAGATAATCTCATATCTCTGAGTTCATTTGGCGTAATGTTAGTACAAAATTGGATAATTTTCCCCCATAATTCTTCAAAATTTGTAGGTCAATGAAAGTTATGCCGTAAGACCCTTCCTTTCAGACACTCCCAAAGAAAAAAAATCACTCGTAGAAAAATCTGGTGACTTGGAAGTCGTCAGAAGTAATCGCACCACGTTAAATTGTGTCACTGGCCGTGCATTGTAACTTGTAACCTGTTGAAATCAAATCTCCCCTAAATCGATAGGAAGTAGATGAACTGTTGGAATCATTTGATTTTGTGGTAGCTCTAGGTTTTCGACAGCATTCAGATTACCATCGATGAAGAAAGGACCTACAGGTTAGGTTAGGGTAAATCAAAAGTGAGTGGGTCTGTTCGATCCTCCACCGCAACCCGCAAGGGTTTATTGTGGCTCACATCTATTTGCACTCGACCAAATAAACCCAGCTTCTTAACGAAGCCGATTATTTGTTTGGTGAGTATGTCATATGGTAAGAATTCGGATGTGCCAAACTCTGAAACCCCGATTCGGTCCCCAGCGGGGCAGGTACAAAGTATGTGCTCTGCTGTTTCATCGTTTTCCAAACAAAGGCGACACACAGTGTCTTCCGACAGTCCGAGTCTCTGCCTATGAAGATTCAAATGACAGTGATCCGTGAGAAGGCCTGTTAGATATCGTAATTCATCCCTACTATAGTCCAACAACTGTTTGGTATCAAGCTTCGAAGGGTGTGAGTGAACCAATTCTGGAAGATTCTGCCAGAAGTCCATAAATCTTCTTGCCATCCAGATATTCAATGTTTGTTTGGCAAAGCCTAAAGTGATGCCGATGACAGGTTCTGGTGCAATGAAGCTGCTTGCAGCATCATCCTTTGCAAGGAGGTCAGCATCATCATTGTCTTCCAGGCCACTATGGCCAGGAATCCAGACCAGAGACAATTCTATAACATAGTCTCCTTGTATTCCTGTCCCAAAATTGAGTGTTTGTGGACATTGAGTATGCATATTTTCCCAAAACCTGAGCGGAACATCCTTTTTGTAGATGATTTTGGGTAATCCATACAAGTGAGGGGGCTTGTTGTGGTGGGGTGTTAGCGATGATCTCTCTTTTTCCGAAAAATAGACTTGGTGTTTTTTCAAAGTCTGGTACGACTTCCTTTCAATTGATGCAGTAGGGTCTCTTACGATCTCCGTCTATTTTCCTTTCTGAAGCACCTCTTCGATTTTCTGTTCGTAGAGATCAGTATCCATCACAACATTTCCATTATCTGCAGGTAAGATCTTGATGGTGTTACCCAAAATCTACAAAAAGGATGTTCCGCTCAGACCGATCATTAGCTTCAGAAACTCAGCCACTCAGAACTTGTCCAGATTTTTACTACCAATAATTAAACCACTGCAAGGTAAAACATCATCTTTTGTGAAAAATTCAAGGCATTTCGTTGAACTACTAGGGAAAATCGAAGTCAAAGAGCAAGATCAACTGAACAGTTTTAACGTGGAAAGCCTCTACACCAACGTTCCTGTCGAAGAAGCACTTCAAATCATACAGAGGAAACTATCCGAAGATGGGGACCTGAAAGATAGAACAAACTTACCGATACAAGTAATCATGGAATTACTAGGATGCTGTGTACGAAACTGCTACTTCCAATTGAAGGACAATTCTTTACGCAAGATGAGGGACTGCCACTGGGATCGCCACTTTCACCGGTTATAGCCAATATGTATATGGAGTGGTTTGAAACTTTGGCCACTGAAAAAGCTCACAAGAAGCCCCGAGTCTGGTTGAGATACGTAGACGACACCTTCATAATATGGAACCATGGGAATGCAGAACTAGACACTTTCCTGAAGCACATCAACAACGTAAGTCCTTCATCACTTTCACAAAAGAGAAGGAAGTCCACAAAGAATAGCCTTTCTTAGACGTATTGGTGAAGAGGACTAAATGGGAAACATCTGCATATCGAAAACCCACTCAGGACAATATCTGAACCAGAAATCCAACCACCATCAATCGGCTAAGAGAGGAATAATCAAGACTCTACTAGACCGTGCTTTCGAGATCTGCAATACAAAGGAAGGTCTCGAAAAGGAACTAGGCATCATCAAAAATGATCTTCAACGGAATGGTTACTCCAGAGTGATGGTAGAACAGGCTTTAGCTAGAAGACAGCAAGAGCTCCACAAGAAAGAGAAGCCGCCACAACCAGTACTTGTACTTCCCTACATCAGAGGATTATCGGAAAGGATAAGAAGGATTGGAAGCGTTCCAGGTGAGTTCCAAATGGAATGACCTCGTTAGATCGTCCAATTCTCTCCTTCTGGTGAAGGGGATTATTACAGTTTTGCTAGGATTGACAGATATCTGCTCCCTCAAGCACCAACTGTGAACAATGTCCATCATGCTTTGGAGGATATTACAAGCAACCCTTCCCGACGTGGACCTTGCCAAGATGACAAGGTCATCTGCATAAGCTTGCAGATTTTCTTTTCTTCTGTCAAGGGCATCAAGCAGACTATCCATCAGGAGCGACCACAGAAGGGGAGATAGTACCTACCTTGAGGGAAGCCTCTGGTGACCCTGAACCTAATGGCCTCGCCTTGAAGAGTCGTAGTTGCAATTCTGTTTACCAGCATGGTATAGATCCAGCCAGTTATGGTCGACTCTATACCTCTCCTAGCCAGAGACGATCCTATAGATTTAGGTAGAGCATTGTCAAACGCTCCTTCAATATCGAGAAATACAGCACCCGCAATCTCCTTGTTTACTCATAACTGTTTTTTTTTCAGGTTCACCGTACACTTGCTTTGATGCCTCAAAATACGGCACATTGCTGATAGTAGACCCCGAAGAAGAATTCTTTCCTGAAGAAATAATGAAGCTGAAAAGGGATGTTGATGCTGGACTTTCCATTATAGTATTCGCTGATTGGTACAATGTGACCGTCATGAAAAAAGTCAAATTCTATGATGAAAATACCAGGCAGTGGTGGATGCCTGATACAGGAGGTTCTAATGTTCCGGCCATAAATGACTTATTGGGCTCGTGGAACATTCAGTTGGGAGACAGGGTATTTGAGGGTCACTTTAAATTGAATGATCACGAGATCTATTATGCGTCAGGTACAAGTATTCGAAAGTTCCCCAAAGACGGCATACTGATTTCAAGGCTACTCAACGATCAAGGATTACAAGTAAGTAACAAGATAGGTAGATAAGGGCTTGCAAGTTGACTCTATGTACACTGATTTCTCCAAAGCTTTTGACAAAGTTGATCATGAGCTATTGATCCACAAACTTTGTTTATATGGTGTTGATGGGCAAATATTGCAGTGGCTCAAGAGCTATCTTGCAGAAATAACGCAGATTGTTAGAGTTAATCATTACTATTCTCATAACATCGTAGTTACATCGGGTGTTCCACAAGGTTCACAATTGGGACCACTGTTGTTTAACCTTTTTATCAACGATCTAATCAGCTGTTTTCATGAAAGCGAAGCTTTGCTATATGCCGACAATTTATAATAATTGAAAGTAAAGCTGAAACATTGTGTCTACAAAACGATATAGATTGCCTATCTAACTGGTGTTCGCAAAATGGTATGTGTTTGAATGCATCCAAATGCCAAATTCTTCGCTTTCATCGAACACATCATCCAATCACTTTCGAATATAGTATAAATTATCATTCTGCTATTGAAACCAAAGATCTAGGTGTGATCCTAGACTCCACATTTGGCTATAAATCACACATTTCCGCTATAATTCAAAAATCTATGAAGATGCTTGGCTTTATCAGGAGAAGCACTCGTTATTTCACCAACATCACTGCTATGTAATCTCTTTCCCTGGTTAGATCTNCATTATTTCTTGTGAAATTGAAACGATAATAATCGTATAAGTTTTGTGGAAGGTATGTTTATGAAAATTCATTGTTACAGAGCCCCGAAGAAGAATTTAATTAAATTCGAAACGTTGGAAAGAAAACAAGTGTTTTTTTTTAAGAAAAAATTGACCCTGTTACCCAACCAACCTTTTTTCCTAAAAAATGTATTGGATCACTAAACTAGTTAACTGAATAAACCATTCCTCCTGATATTACTGTGTTTTATGAAATTGTGGTTGTGCTGTTTCAACGATTACTACACTGATTATTTTTTCTTTCAGGCGAGTCTTAGTCCCAGCTACATAGACCTCAACGAATGCCCCTACATGTGGCCATATTGCACACAACCACTTTACTACGGCACTGTACCTGTCATTGTCAATGTAACTATTTTGAATGGTTTGGGTGTATCAGGGAGAATTGTCAATAAACCTCAATGGCATCCTTACACTCCTCAGCAGGGTCACTTGTTGGAGATATCAATATCTCATTCGGAACATTTGTGGCCTTGGTCAGGCTGGATGGCAGTGTATTTGTCAGTATCCTCAGAAGGAGCCACCTACGAGGGACTGGCGCAAGGTCACGTTTCTCTTGTTGTAGAATCACCTCCCGGTAGTGGTGAACAAGAGCCTCGTCAAAGTACTGTCCATTTACCTATAAGGTTTGTGTCTATGTCTTGATTATTTCAAAATTCAACTCCAGCACTTGAAATTGTCCTCTTTCAGAGCTAAAATTATTCCAACACCTCCTAGGCATAAAAGAATACTTTGGGACCAGTATCACAACCTGAGATATCCACCTGGATATTTTCCCAGAGATAACTTGAAAATTAAAAATGATCCTCTCGATTGGAATGGAGATCATATACATACAAACTTCAGGGATATGTATCAGAATTTGAGGAATTCAGGATATTATGTAGAAGTTTTGGGTGAGCTGAATTTTTATAATTACTGTTTCTGTCACTGAACATTATACTACATTTAAATTTTGTTATTGTGGTCAGTGTAAAGAAGAGTTTAATATCAGTTATCTGTTTCACTGTCACTTTATTTTGAAGATTAATTACTACTACAAATAAGAAAAACTCTTCAGGTAATTGTATTAATCTCAATCTGAATACAGAAATAGAAGAAGAAAATTGGAAACAACCACGTTTCTGTGCGGATATTATACAGGGTGGGCCATCGAAAACTTGGCATGGAGGTTTTGGGTACTAATCTTGCGTATCCGAAAAAAAAACTCAGACAGGTCGATTTTTATAAGGAACTGGGGGCGAGCCGCACATTGTTTGAAAGATCTTAGAATTCTCTAAACAACGGTGTACATTTTTTTAAATTAGGACGAACCATATTGAATTTAGAGTTGAACTTACTTATTTTATTCTCACTTTAGTATATGCTCAAAATGGGCACCTCCAGCTTCCATGCCATAATAGAGATTCTGCTGGAAACGTTCTCGAACATTGTGGAGCATCTCTGGAGTGATTTGGCGACATGCATTTGTGATTCGTTGCCGTAAATCTTTGAGTGATGCAGGAGGAGTATAGTAAATTCTGCTTTTCAAATGACCCCACAGAAANAAAAAAAATGTACACCATTGTTTAGAGAATTCCAAGATCTTTCAAACGATGTGTGACTCACTCCCTATTCCCTATTAAAATTCCAAGGATTGTTCACCCCTCTGCTCTGGGGTTGAAGTGACGACGCTGTAAATGGGAAAAAAATATCCCCCTCCCAATAAAAATCGACCTGCCTGAGCGTTTTTTCGGATATGCAAGATTAGTACCCAAAACCTCCATGACAAGTTTTCGATGGCCCACCCTGTATAGTAATTTACACATACGTCATTGATGGCAAATTTATTTATTTATTTATTTATTTAATGGTCATGAAATATACAAACAGGCACCAGGTCCACTAGAGAATCTACATTAAACAAAATTCGTATATCTTCACAGTAGTAGGTATAAAACTATAAAATAATACATCAGTACATAATATATAATAATAAGTTGATAAGTTGTTAAACTCCTGACATCAAAGTAACAATTTAACTTCGACTCAAACTCAAATAATATTTTCAAACCTTCAATTGAAACAAAAAAATATATAAATATCAAGGTGACAAAGACAAAAAATAGTTTATTAGTACTTACGTGAGACGTTTCAAAATGGTCTTTAATTTTTGATGGGATGTAGAGAAAATATAAATTTGATCATTGTAAGTGTTGTGAACAATTTTACATAAAGGAGAATTTTGAGACGAATTAGTTCTTCAAATGGTATGTGGAAAAAGTAGTTTATTCTGAGTGACCTCTAGCATACAAAATTGTAAATGGAATGGCACCAGAATATTTTAAAGATTACATCAAATTCAATAAAAACATTGATAATTATAATACAAGAAATTCCAATAATATACATATAAACAGACCGGCACTCGGAAGTACCATGAATTCGTTATTTTTTAAGGGCTTCCACGAGTTCAATGAATTACCGGAAGAAATAAAAAAAATATCCATTTTAAAAGATTTTAAAAGAGCACTTAGAGAATTTTTGAAAAAGTAATAGAATACAAATTGTACAGTTATGTGGAATTATTTGGGACATTATTGGCTATCATTTATTGTTTTTTCATTTATTGTTTTTTCATTTATTGTTATTTATTGTTTTCAATTGTTCACTAGGGTATTTGTATCTGTAATGAAACCAAATATCACTGTTTTAATAATAATTTAATGTATATATGTACCTATATTTCATTATCTATTTAAATGTTACTTAACATATGATACTGAAATATTTATATGTAATCTTCATTGTCTGGCTACATGCTAGTTTAAATTTCAAATTGTTTAAATTTAAAATTTTTTACATACATTTTTTTTATATTTCATTGTGCTAGTGTTATTATTACACTCATAGATATGTATATTAGGTTTCCTATTTCAATAAAGATTATTATTATTATTAGCCGGATGGGAATGTTGATTTCAATTTGGTTTAGTATACTGGCATTGTCAACAGAATTTGGGATAACTATGTGTGAAAATGAAATATCAGAGATCATTCTTCTACTTCATAGGAATATAATATTGAAATGTTTTCTCGTATTTTCAATGTCGCCGTTGTGATTGAAAGTTTATTTGAAACAAATATATTTGATAAACTTATTCCGGATGTTTTTCAGGCGGTTTATATAAGTTTTGTACTGGGGACACCATATAATAGAAGTGAAATTTAGCTTACTATACACAAATGCATTGTAAACATAAATTGAAGATTTGATGTTTTTGAAATCTTTACAAGAGTAAAGATATATGAAAATTATACCATCAAGAATTACTTTTATTCTCAAACTAGAGTCTGAATTCCTCGACATCAGTATTTTGGATAATTTCTTAGTAGAGAGTTAAAAAAAAACTTGGAAGTACTACCACAACTCACTAAAGAAGGAAAAAACCGAAAAATTCAAGAAACAAATCAAACACCAATCAAAACCCAACATTTGAAACATCAATTTGAATACTTTTCGAAGTGAATTTGAAAAACTCATGAATTACACTCAACTTTATTTTGTTCAAACTTGCATTTGCTGTAATAACCCAAATTGAGGAACATTCCCCATTGGTAATGTGCACAAGTCTATATGCAGTCCATCTAGCCTCTCTCTCCAGAAAAATGTGGAGAGGAGGTAGATCTAGAAGGATCTTGCTGGCCGCTGACGGTGTGGTAATGATGGCACCACTGATGGCCAGACAAGCCTGTCTCTGTAAGCCAGGGAGCTTCGTTTGGGCCGTTTTCTGTAAAGCCTTAGGCCCCCAGGGAACTGCACCATAAGTGATCATTGGTCTGACAATCATCAAATAAATTCAATGGATGATCTCTGTCTTCTATCAAAAATCAATTTCAAAGTACTTGCTTATGAAACTAGATCGTTTCGTACATTTTATATTGAATCGGCAAGAACAAATTATTATCAAAATGCTCCATTAAATGTAATGCCTATAATAATGTACAATATGACTTTGATATCTTCTTCCAAAATCTTACTAGTTTTAGAAATAGGTTGTATGAAATTGTATAACTCTTGTTGATTTTTTTTTTAACTTTTTTGTTTG